TGGCAGGGTTTGTTATTGCAGGCGACCCACATTGATTTACATATGTATTTGCCCATACACACACACAGACACACACATACATAGACAGGCTGGGTATAGGGCTCATGTTAAGGAAACGTCAACAAAAGCAGCTTCTGGGCAAACTGTTTGCTTTTGGCTAAACGCACATAACCAGCAAATATTTGGGCTATGACTCAGCAGAAGTTTGAAAAGCGACGCTAGTTTGGGCCAGAGCCCATAAAAGTGTCTTTAAAATTCAATTTTGATGGGCTGTGTGTAAAGAGAGAGAGAGAGAGAGACGGAGAGAGCGTGTGGGAAGTGTAGCCGAGTGTACAGCAACTAGACGCTGCTCGCATTGCATTTAGCCCAGTGCCTTGCCCTGGTCCAAAGACGGCCAAACCGGTTCCCAGCCGATACATATATATCTATATGCAATCGCATCTAATATCAAGTTCAAGGTCGCTGTAAACGTGTGTAGCTGGCAACGTTTGTTAACTTATTAAAAAAAAAAATTAAATAAATTTAAAAGAGCGCGCGAATTGTCTACCCCTCGCGCCCACGGCCAATCGCTCGCTCGGTGTGCTGTAATTATTGCTTTTTAAAATGTATCTGCCAGTCGCGCTTGACGAGCTGGCCCCAGAGCTAACCATTAGGTTCTCACGAAACACACCTACACACACGCACACATAGATGCTGCGACTGTTGTTACGTTAAGTATACGCCCTGTCTTGGCAGGAACTGCTGAAAAGTTGTAAACAGGTGACTAATGCTGCAAATCGTTAGCTGGTAATTGGAAGCTGCATATTCTATGTCAGTTTCGGTGCCAGGCCGTTCCAAATGACTCAGTTGCAGTTCCAGCGAAGTCGAGAGTCAAAGCGAAAATGGCAAAAGAAATGAACACGTTGCTTTGGTTCTCGAATTACTCATACGCACCGTATGGCCAAAGTTGCTCGAATTGTGTTCTACGAAATATATATATTTAATAAATATTACAACAACTGCAGCAAATACACACACAAGGGCTTATACGCAATTCAATTTGCAGCAACGGCAACCGTCAAAAGGTTTTGTGGTTGAGCCAAGCATGCAAAAATAATATATATGTATATTTAACAAATGCACATATGTGTAAAACACATTGCATAAAATAAATTTTTCAACAGCAGCAGCTAGCAAATATTCATTCGGCTTTCATCTACATTGTACAACAGCCAAGTGGCAACAATTTGGCAGCTACATACACATATTTGCACAGCAGCTCCGCAAAATGTATCTACACATGCTTGTTGCGGATTGCTTGTAACTTGAACCGTATCCTCAGATCTCGCCCGATATCTGCCGGCAACTGTCGGACATAGCTTTTAGCTATTGCTGTACTTCAGTTCAACCTAATTTGTATGCACCACACACGAAAATGCACACAGCTGAGAATGTTGCAACCATTCAAGGTAAATAATTATTTTGTCTATTTAAATGTTGTCAATAAATGTAATTTCAAGCTAAGTCACTTGCATGCAAATTGCCGCTGCCACAGACAACTGCATTAGGTTTAATTACTTCCCTTTAAATATTCGCCAGGAGATTTTCCTATACACATGCAAAGCAAAATTAACAGCGAACAAATGCTCCAACAATTTTGTAAATTGCACTACATTACATTTATTTATAAATGAATAATGAAGATAAACTAAAGAGCTGGAAAGGACATTCAGAGGTAGCGTGTTCCATTCAAGGATAGATTACATAGCGATTTTTTTTATTTTAATTTAAACTGGATAAGCCCGATTTGATTTTTGTCTTATAAAGAAAATCTTTGTTTAAAAGAAAGGAGAAAAACATAAATATAACAAAAATATCTCATTTTTTCTGTAATGTATCATAATTTTGATGATAGTTAAGAAAAATTGTATATCCTTCTTTTTAATAAATTAATAAATATTATAAATTATGTATTATTAATTTAATACATTAATATAATTAAATAATTAATATATTTTCTATGCATATATTTTTGGTATTTGTATGCAAGAAATATATACAAATATTTAAATTATTCAACTTTAAGACTCTTAAGGCTTGCGATAAACAATTAATATGTTCGAAACAAACTATGCAATTTTTTAAATATTTAGAGATAATTTTTTTAAAAAACTTTCCTGTTTACAAAAAAATTAACTAAACATTTTTAAGGTATTCTATATTTTCAAAATTTGTACATTTTTTTTGTTTCTTTCTTTGAATTTGACAAACAATTTTGCAAAGCATTAAAAAGATTTAGTTATGTTTATTACTTTCGACTGTAACGTTTCAGTTGGGCCATAAATTGCTGGACTTAAAACTTGTTGCTATTAAATATCAAATTAAATATCCGAATATAGCTGCTGAACCCTATGCTTTTGCCGTTGGCTTTTATTTCTGTGGAAAACGGAAACTGAAACTGAAAACGTTACAATGAAAGTTGCGCTGAAATGCAACAGAAAGTTTCAGTTAATGCCGCATATAAAGAACAAATATGCACACACACACACACATGCACAGTTGCCTCGCCCGACAAGCGAGGAAAATGTGGAAAAACCACAAACGAACGCTGACTAAAAGCCAATTGTATTTATGCAGCGCGCATATTTCCCTTTGTGTTTGAGTGTGTGAGTGTGTGTGAGTGTGTTTGTGTGTGTGCTTCTTGTGGGCATTAAAATGCCCTTAGTTAAACTTTGTACGTAAACATTACCAAAAGCCAAACTTTTCAGTTCGCAGGGGTTGAACATGAGATGCTCTTTGTGCTGTCAACCCAATATTAATTATTATGAATTCTATATTTATTTGTTTTGTTAGGTTCGATATTTAAATTTCAAATTAGACAACGAACTGTTCAAAAAGCTGGCCACCCAATCCCAAAGCATTTATAACTTGACCCTAATCATTGTATTCAACTAACCATATGTGTTAACATAGATGACTTTTGGGCGAGAGATCTAAGGTAGCCCACAACTTCTCTATGAAAATATGTACGACAAGCAATATTTTCAGTAGAACGGGCAATGGCAAGAGAAAAAAATTTAAATTTTTAATAAATTATTGAAAATATATATATATATTGAAAATCAAGATTTAAACCAAAAGCTGGGTTCCTAACTAGGTGTAGTAGCTTTACGAGCCGAACTTTAAGATAGGGAGTTAGTTCTAAGCGCTAATTAAACCATCGACTATTTTTTTTTCTTGGATATTGCTTTAAATTAAGAATTTAAATATTCTATAAAAATTTCGAAAATAAATAGATCCAGATTTGAATCAAAACCTGAATTCCTATATAGAGGACTACTTTCGGCTTCACGAACCGAACTTTATGGCAGGGAATTGGTTTAAACTACGAACTGAACCAACAAATGACAAAACGAGAACCATAACCCGATTTCCTAGATGTGTAAGATCAGCTTCACGAACCGAACTTTATGGCTGGGAATTGGTTTGAACTGCAAACTGAACCAGCGACTTTTTTCCTTGGAACTTTGGTTCTTCATTCTTACAATAAGAGCTTTAATGTCTTATACAAATTCTGAAAACATATAATAAATCCAGATTTAAACTTTAACCTAGGTTCCCAAATGTATACGATCAGCTTCACGAACCGATCTTTCAGGCAGGGAGTTGGTTAGAGCCAGCGACTTTTTTGTACCTGTAGCCCTCAGTCTTAAAATGATTTTCGGTCAATTTTGACAAGGTTTACGCTTGATTTGCTTACGAATTCTCTGATTTTTTCCTCTAACTAAGTTTTATGTAGCTGGCGAAATACCCTGAATTGAAGTGGAACCCTTTTCAGATCGTTCGGAAAGGCCTTTTGACTGCTGCAATGTAAAAGTTGTTGTTGGAATGTTTGTTTGCTTTTGGCTTGGTTGCTGTTTTCAGTTCGCTTACAATGCGAATATTTTCACCAAACACACACACACACTCGCACACACACTGGCACACACAGATAGCTGTTTGCTTGTATGGGTGACCATGAAATATTCACACAACGAACGCTTCCACTCAGCCGATTCCGGTCTCTTTGTGGACCTGGCTGCGACGCAGATTGACGCTTCATTACAAGCAGCGTTATGCAATCCGGGCCCAGAGCAGAGCACAAAGGCTGTAATGGTTTCTGTGTGAGTGTGTGTATGTGTCTCTATGTGTGTGTGTTTGTTCGAGAGAGAGATAATTTGACGATGAGGCGTGCTAACATGTGCCCGCGGCCTGGCTTAGTGTCCGACTCTGTGCACAGCCACTGATGGCTGCTTTTCATCATGCAGCGAGTGCATGTGAGATCATCGGGCGGCAAACAAAATTCTACGTTCTGTATTCGCCCCATGGAACGGCCGACAATTGTGTTGGTTGTTTTTGTAGCTGCCGCAGCCGCAGCCGCTGCTGCTGCTGCTGCTGCGCTGCCCGTTGGCTGCGAAGCGTAAATTGCAATTATTTCACATGACATGACTTTGGCAGCAGCGCGACAGCGATGCCGTCAGGTGCTGAAGTTTCTAGACCTCCTCCCCACCAATCAACAGCCAGCACAAATGTGCAAAAAAGTTGGACCTTGAGGTTGGCGCGACTAATGCGCGACAATTGTTAAAGCTGTTGGCAGCAACCAACAACTGCACAGAAACCAAACCAAGCCAAACCAAAGCAAATCAAATCAAATCACACACGCACACACACACACTCACACACAAAAGCCAGAAACTCTTTGCCACAGACTTCAGATCTTGGGGCGAGCATAAAAATTTGCATAAGAAAATATATTTTTTAAGAGCCGTAGTCTTTTGCACTTGTTCGCTAAACGAAACGGAGGTTCATAAAAACAGGAAAGAGCGGCTATTTATCGGCACGCCGAAGATTGAATACACTTGCGAGCATATAGAGGGTTTTTTTATTTAAGCTCTACTTGCCACCGATAGCACCTATAGTTGGCATATAGGAGGAAAGTGAAGCTCATAATATCAAGAAACAAAAAAAAAAGTTCTACTTACCAAAACTCATTATTTGACCGATACTTCCTATAGATCTATATGATATATTAGTCCGATGTGTATAAGTTGTTGCTGTAGAAACTCGTAAGATCCAAGTTATCGTGATTCGTTTGTTGATACAGATCAGCTATATATATATAGTACTTTGTGATTTCGGATATGTCTCCCGTGCGTTACACATTTCGTGACTTAGCTAACATAGCCGCTACAAGGGCATGACAACGGCTGCGTGGTGCTATAAAATGTTTTCCAGCTACTCGCCCAACCGGGCAAGCAAGATCCAAACCAAAATCGCCGAAGAATCCACAACAAGTGACGACAACGCTGGCGTTTCGGCCATGGTTACCCTTGATCTCGTGTTTATTTCGGCAGTCAAACGATCCAAAATAAATAAATAAATAATACATAGCGAAAACCAGCAAAAGAATTTCTTGTATTTTTTCATTGCGTCTTTCGGCATTGTGTGTTCCGTAAATGGGCGACCGGACAGCGCAGTCACAAGCCATGGCAGGTTATGGATTGGAGCATGGTGCGATCGATTCATGTCCAAGTCTGAAAGATTGAGTAATTGAGAGTCCAACATGAAAACGTGCGGAAAACTTCCAGATTTACTCGGCAATATATGTTTATAAACATAAATAAATTTATAAATATATAATAAAAATTGAAATAATAAAAAGTTACTGCTAATGACCGAAAGTCTCACCAACAAATGCTATATTTAAACTTAGGTGGGTAACACATGTAACTAAAAATAATTGCTGGATTTTTATTAAGATATTTCTGAGTGACTTTTGTGTGGCGAGACGAGTCGGACAATAAACATAGAAATAGTTTTGAAAAATTGAATTATCAAATATTAAAAGGTTTTTCTTATTTGTTGAAGTTTCTTGAATTAAACTCTTTAAGAAATATTTACTTTTCATAGTGGAAGCATCAACCTCATATATATGCACAATCTTATCGGCTTTGGATCACTATAGCATATAGCTGCTAAATGAAAGGTCGGTGAAATAGTAGGATCTTATCTTATATGTAGGATCCTATAAATTTCAAAGATATTTTCATCAAACTCAGCATTTCCGAGGTGCACGTTTCTTACATATCTGCAAAAGGGGAATGTCAACAAGGGTATTAAATCTTCGGCGTGCCGAATATATCCATATTTCCTAGATTTTGATTCATTCTTGATGTTGATGCATTTGGGCTTACTTCACTAAAATTTCGATTCCATTTGCTACAACAACAAAATTGTTTTTCCTATAATCAAAAAGTAAAAAACTATTAAATCTATTTAGACTTAAATAGAGGCTCGAATTGAATAAGTTGTGTGACTTAAGGGTTAGCTAACCCTTTGCTATCCCGCTCTTTAGCTCCGGCATTTTCTTATATCAGTTAACTAAATCTATTCATAATGTTACCGTTATTACACATATCATACTATGAATATCAATTGGGTATTTGCCTTAAAAGGTACGCTGCTTTCTCCCCGTGCCTCTGATTATCTGCCTTAATATCTTATGTTAAGTAATTCTCAACATTATGTCTTTGTCAACTCAATTTTGTCAATATATATATATATATACAGATTCCTACGCACAGCTGCTTGTGGTACTTGGCTAACCGATTAATTCATTTGTACGCTTTTATTTATTGCATTTAATTTAATATAACCAAAAACCAATTTTATGGCTACATATTTTAACATTTTACGGCTCCAGCGGCAAAAGAGGCGAACAACATACAAAAAAAAACTAAATAAATAAATATAAAAGAAGCTGAAAAAAATTGGTTTCATTTTCATTTCATTTTGCCAGTTGGTTGACAGCTGGCCAGGCTGTTAAGTTCTCGTGTTTATCGAGTAGTGCTATATGTAGTATATATATATATATGTATATGTATATATGTGTGCGTGTGTATCGCATTTCGTTTACCAGTTTTGGGTTTTTCAAGTACAAACCACAAGACGAATTTGGTCATTTAAAATTGCGGCGTTGTCTTCGGTCTGCCCCGCTGATGGATGGATGGATGGATGGCTGGCTGGCTGAATGGACGGACGGGTACTTGGACGCTGCTGGCTTGGATGGTTTGTTGGATAGATCTTTGGTCTGCCTGCATGCCTGCCAGCCTGCCTGCCTGCCTGCTGTTTACAATTGTTGTCATTGTCAACGTGTTTTACTTCTCTTGACGGGGCGTTACCAGCAGCAGCAAGAAAAACAACAACAATACGAAAAACAACGACAACCACAGCTTTGTCTTCGACAGCCGCTGCAAATGACCCATTTAACGGGCCAGTGCACAAGAAGCCGCCTTGGCTCTTGGGCTGGCTATTTAGCTACTGCTAGTTGGCTTAGAGCGATTGGGAACGTGGGAGAGATTTGTTTGGCTCAAGTACACACGCTTGGTCTTGAAATGCAGCTCTCGATTGATTAGAACTTGGTTAAATCTGTTGGCCTGTTAATTACCCGTTTCTGTGCCAGGCACATTTAAATGCAAATTGCAAATGAAGTGTGAACTGCATTTGTATATGGAATACATGCATACATGCATATATATCTGTCTTTCAGTTTTGTATTTGTCTGTGTATCTATGGCAATTAAGCACGTTTCAAGTGCGCCGACAAAAGCTCAATTACAATTAATAAACGGCCAGTGGCTAAGGAAATTTGCACCGGCTTCTCCTACCTTTTGGGCCAAAGTTGACGAGATCTCAGCTCTCTGGCGCTGGCAATTTTCTAGTTGGCTGACTGTGAACTTATCCACTGCAATGATTTAATGTTGGCTTATTACACATTTTATGCCAAATTGTTTGCAAGAACATGCCAAATGATCAATTTGCATTTGTTGTTCTTGCGGCTGTCGAGCACTTTATATAATTTATGTCAATCATTTGTAGCTGCTGCTGTTCGGATTTAGTCATTTGTATATAAAACGACCATTTGTTTAGCTTGTTTGAATTCTCTTAGAGTCTCTTTTACTCCCTCTTCTTCTGGCCCTGCCTTTATCTCTAGGGATTGGTCGTGTCCCCAACTCTGTTGGTCAGCCAGAAGATGTCTGGCAATAAATGGACTTATATTCATATGCATAAATATGTCGTCTATCTTTGGAATCTTGTACCAGTTGTTAACTTCTTATATGATTTTCTCAAAAATGGCTTACAGACAGTTTCCGTATTTCTTTTAATTTGTCACCTTTTGTATCTTAAGATTTATTTTGCTATATTCACACAATCTCTTGGATTGGACAAAAAGCAATTAAATAAGTTAATTTAAATAAATGAAAATTAATATTAAATATTTCAATAAAATAATTTTACGAGCCGAACGAAAGGCGTGGCAATGGATCAAGCCGGAAGCATTTGCTTGCCATGATTTTAACACAAAATTAACACCATGTTTGACAGTCAAATATATATATCTACACCTTTACCAGATTTCCGACTGCTTTAATGGATGGTAGGGTGTTATACCTTTCGGTTAAGTTTTCATAAGACAGCGAGCTTAGCTACTCTTTTAGGCACTTTTAGACACGGAATAAGGGAAAAATATTTAAGATAATAATTTTGTGAAACAACACAATACCAAAATATAAAAGAATTAAATAAAATATTAAAGTAAATTATAGTAAGTGTAATAATAAAATAAGTATCTAATAATTATTTAAATAATTAAACAAAAATTGATTTTTCTAAAAATTCTTATTTAAAATGTTATTATCATAATTATAAAATTCAATCAAAATAAATAAATAAATGAATGTCTTGTTAGCTACAAAAAATATATATATATTTATATATAAATAACCTTTACTATAACTTTTGCAGCTATAAACTTTTAGCTTTACATTTGTTAACTAGAATAAGTTCAAGCTACAAATTTTTACAGTCAACAAGATTCTTGTCATAAAAATAAAATAATACTGAGTCAGAGAACGCGATTTTTGTTTCAAGCTCAAGAACTACGCTTTTGTGCAAGGTAAACTCTATTGTGCGGATTAGGAGCGAGTCTTGAGTTGTTAATGCCCACAATTCTAGCAGCTCGTAAATCAAGTGGTTAACATAAAGACCAAAGCATATGTCGCAACCCAGAAAACTGACGCAACCAATGGACCACGCTCTCAAGTGTCATTAGCAACCAAAATGATCAACATGAACGTTAACATCAGCATCAGCATCCACATCAGCATCAGCATCCACATCAGCATCAGCCATCAATTATGCAAACGGCGAAGTGTGAAAATGTTTTCAAGCTCTCGGCACATCACGGTTAAACACTTTGTTCGTTGTATCTGTATCTGTATCTATTAACTGCTAACTGACTGACTGACTGATATATTTTAGTATTTATAGCAGCTGTCTAAAGCAAATAAAATTTGCACGATTTTTTTGTAATGTAAACGCGCGCCCGGGCTGCCATCCATCTAGGTGTTGCTATATGCAAGAGTATTTGTATCTCTGTATCTGTATCTGTATCTGTATCTGTATCTGTATCTGTATCTGTATCTGTATCTGTATCTGTATCTGTATCTGTATCTGTATCTGTATCTGTATCTGTATCTGTATCTGTATCTGTATCTGTATCTGTATCTGTATCTGTATCTGTATCTGTATCTGTATCTGTATCTGTATCTGTATCTGTATCTGTATCTGTATCTGTATCTGTATCTGTATCTGTATCTGTATCTGTATCTGTATCTGTATCTGTATCTGTATCTGTATCTGTATCTGTATCTGTATCTGTATCTGTATCTGTATCTGTATCTGTATCTGTATCTGTATCTGTATCTGTATCTGTATCTGTATCTGTATCTGTATCTGTATCTGTATCTGTATCTGTATCTGTATCTGTATCTGTATCTGTATCTGTATCTGTATCTGTATCTGTATCTGTATCTGTATCTGTATCTGTATCTGTATCTGTATCTGTATCTGTATCTGTATCTGTATCTGTATCTGTATCTGTATCTGTATCTGTATCTGTATCTGTATCTGTATCTGTATCTGTATCTGTATCTGTATCTGTATCTGTATCTGTATCTGTATCTGTATCTGTATCTGTATCTGTATCTGTATCTGTATCTGTATCTGTATCTGTATCTGTATCTGTATCTGTATCTGTATCTGTATCTGTATCTGCATACGATATGTATATGTAACAGTATCCACTGGCATTGAATATGTGGCAGGCGATGTCATGAAGCGCTGGTGACTCAATATGTGCCTACTATTTGTGCATTATATATGTTGTATTTGCATTGGTAATTTGTGTATGCACTTGAAATCCAACTTGGACTGAAATTACTCGCATTGCAGCGCAGTTTTGTCGATGGCTCACAGATGAAAATGCCAACAAATGGCAACAGATTTAGCTAAAGCTGAACTTGAAATGCCAGTCGCACAGCAGTTAGGACTACAAAACAGCAAAAAAGAAAGAAAAAAAACACAACTACAAAAAATCAAAGCTTCAACCTGCTAATTTGTATGTCAACTGTGCGTTTGACGCGCCCACAAGCCACCTGCCAGCCGCCCCGTCGTGTAACTGAAAGTTTGGTTTT